TTCAGAACATTCTCCGCAGTCTTTTAAGTTGAAATAATGGAGAAAAATCATAAACCGGCATATGAATGTGATTACTATGACCAATATGAATCTATTTCTATTTATCGATTTAACCTAAAGGTGATCAGAGATAATTCTTTGCACTCTTCCCTTTGAAATGATAATCTTCTAGACGGGTGAGGTGCAAGAAATATTAATTCCAAATGAATGAAGAGAGTTAATTATGCTTTTCACAAAAAATAAAGAACCTGCATTGATACAGAGCTTTTTAAAACATTGTAATAACCCTTTAGAACTATGAATTGAATGATTACTTTGCAGGTGGAAATTTATGTGTGTTTTTTTAACAAATTGCTTCATATTGACTCAGCCTCCGACCATTAATACTCAATTGAAATCCTCGGAGGATTGGCTTTAACTTGCTTGAAACTATATTCCCCGTTGCTTCAGGATAAATTGTCGAAAGTGTTTTGACATAACCAGTAAGGTAAGATCAACTCTCTAACCAAATCTTTAAATTAGATATTGTCAGTTACTTCAGTTATAAAAAAAACCTACGTCGGCTTTTTTCTTCTGGCGCGATGAAAATTAATGCTTTATAATTTTCAGATAATTTTCTCGACCTTTTGTATGCTTTCTCTCCGCAGCGAGCTTCGAAATTTTACGAGGATTTGAAGGTCTTCTTCATTCGTTGACAACCGCCTTGTGAGTCAAACATTGCTTAATTTCAATTAAGCAATTTTTCAAATCCTATGAATAACGCATCAATATGGGCAGGACGCACGTTTAAAATAAATCGACTGTATGGTCAACTTAGAATCACCTCAGATAACCTATCCCAGTTCTAAAATGCTTGAAATACTCTATCACAATTGTTGGGTTACATGCTTTAAAATCAGATAACTCAGACATAGGCATCAATAATTCGTGATATCGTGCTTAACCTCATCCAATAATTTTCATTCCTATTATCATCATCATTATCCTTTCTGTGATCGTAAATAAATTATGTTTCAATTCAAGTAAAACTGAGACTTGAGACTAAATGAATTGCGACCAAATGAATCGTAAGATCCTGCCAGAATGCCGCGGTCTAGTGATTTGTCCTTTACTGTATCTGGTGCAGTAACAGATCGAGAGTAAATGAAAAAAATTAATTCCATAATGAATGATAACTTATCAAATAAATAACAAAGTGGTATAAGATGAATGTACAAATTAAAGGTTAGTCCTCTACCTGGATAATCATAAACTGTGGTCATTCAAAACAACGCAAGATTCATATTGATGCAGTTTGCTTATTCAATTTTTCTTGACAGATCCAATCGTGATTAGCAGATTGGCAGAACTTGAAAAGAGGGACGTTAGTGAAGATGTTTCCCAAATTTGAGTGTATAGCCGGGATTACAATAATTTTGATCGTTTCGGTTTCCACAGCAGCTCTCAATGCCTTCACAGTTTTTGTTTTCATAAAACATCGTAATCCTCGCAACCGCAGCGCCTACCTGATCATAAATCTGGCTGTTGCTGATATGTTAGTGGGAGGTTTTTGTTTATTTGATCTGTCCTATTTCTACGGACAGATATGTGATATTTGGAACTTTGATTCATACAGATTTAATTACCTAAGGTCAGCTTTCGTCCTCCTTTTTCTGAGTTGTTCCTTAACAAATATGACTGTCATTTCTTTGGAGCGGTTGCATGCAACATTTTGGCCATTCAGACATCGCGTTATGAAAAAGTGGATTTACAAAGCAATGATTGCTGTTTCTTGGATTAGTGCCGCGGTCGCCTCTTTTTCTTATTCATTTTATTCATGGAATTTTCTTAATGCATTCTGTTTGTCGGTGATCTGTATTTCTCACGCCTCAATTTTTTTTAAAGTTCGTAACGCTTCACACGGTTTGCACCATAGCTCTCCTTCCAGAGACAGAAAACTGACTGTGACCCTGTTCGTTGTAACATTTCTTTCTCTGGCCTTGTGGCTTCCCTATGTTGTTACCTCGTTTGTCGCCTATAAACATGTTATAGTCTTACCTGTTCGCTTGTTTTACTTTTTCGTTTTTCTATTTCATACCAACTCTCTCATAAATCCTCTGTTATACCTTCTTAAAATACCGGGGTATAGGAGAGCTTTCATTGGCCTTTGTAGAACACGTTGTCAACAGCAAAGACAGGGTAAAGTTTATCCTACTAATGGCCTATGATATGGCTTGGTAATACATGAATAAATCCTTAATTGGGCCTGATTTTGCATCGAAAGGGAAGAAGGAAGGAGCATGCTTTTAACTCTTTTTCATACTTATTTATTTACCCCTTGCCTATTCTGAGTTTTCTTTTTATTCCTGAGCCTCAGGGAAAAAAGTGTCTTAATTTAATTATTTTGTGGAACAGCTGGTTACATTTCCTTAAGTTTTTTAGAATTTAGTCTACCGGCCGTTTTCTGAACAGAACCACGCACAATGATTAAATGGGCGTTAATAGATTTAAAGCATTTTTCGCCAGAAATAAATCTTTACCTTCAGTAACACACATATGAACTTGGTTATAGAGTATTGATATCAGTTACAATATGATTAGGATAGAATTGAAGTATACAAGGTTATTCTATACGCCAGAGTTTTTGTACTTATATTGTTTGTGTAATTATAGACTCAATTTCGTTGAAAGATGTTCTTGTTTTGTTATATTACACATACATAAATAAGTGTAAATCAATAAACATTTTCTCTATATTTAGTAAGCGCGCGTCTCATTCATCATTTCAAACTCTAATTGGTCCAAGGAGGCTTACATGATTTTATCTTTTATCTTTATTAACATCATCATATCATTTTAATATTTTTTTAAAAGTTGCCCAACCAACAGACAGAGGAAAAAATCGTAAAATGAAATGCCTCTTGGCCGTATTTATACCCTAACATCATTTCTCCATACAGTTTTCTACACACTTCATTAGGAGCTGACAAGGAGAATTTGTCGAACAATCAAGAGCTTCTATAGTTGGTGATCATTCCATTTAAGTTCGTGACCTCAATGTTTGATTCAGGGGTAATATTATAAATGATGAAATTAGAAGTTAGTCACCCTTAGGCGGCCAAAATGGTTGAGAGGTTTGTTGATTATAAATTGGCATTTGAAAAGTGTAACTCTTGCGTCGTTGTCTTATTAAAAATGCAGCTCTCAAGTAGACAATATAAGTATGATTTCCCCGGAAAAAGTTTTTCCTATTCCAGTATCATGGCTCCTTCTTGCGAGCCATTGTTTATCTTACATGCAATGCGTTTGAAACTAAGTGAGGACGTCTAAGGTACCTTCAGACTCTTCATTTTTTAAATTTCTTCCATTGCAGTTTGTTACGGTATTTTCTCAACCGACAGAAAGATACAACTCGTACCAACTCAACTACTTTATTAACTGACGTAATAATCTTACTACGGAGCAATACCAATAACCAATACAATAACTATCCTCTTATCCTAGAGCCCTCTATAAACTATATCTCAGTGTACCACTGCACAACTCACGGTTCTCTTCAAAGATCCTTGTAGCTTATCGATGTCTACAAAACGTCTCTCACTGTAGCCTTCCACACGGCTGACGATTCCAGTAATAGTAAATAAGTCCAACGATTCTCTATTCGTCTTCGTGACAACTAACTCACCGAAAAAAGCTCAACTTTAACCGATCGCGACTCCTTATATATGTTTGACAAAATGATCTGTAATACGACTATTTTTAGTATCATTACATCATTATTGTATCATAACAAAACATGCTGACTAAGGGTTCTAGAAAGTTCCATTAAAAGGTCTTAATGAGTCAGCATGACTAAGCGTTTCAGAAACTTGGTCAGTTCTCTCTTCAGAGGAGCTTCCACCCGTGCTTTGTGTGCGTGGAGCAGAACCCCATACCCATGGAATATGGTCAACCTCTTTTCGTTTGGTTGTCAGGTGACTGACCAAGCGTACGTACGTACGTACTTACGTATGTGCCCTCTGTCATGTATGCCATCACGAAAGTACTATATGATGAAACTTGAAAATATGGCGTTCGCGCGGGCGACCCTCAAAATTTTCAGGTCGGATTTTTTGTTCATTTGCGATCGAGTTAGACCTTGTGGAACTCAGAATGTAAAGTAACAATGCTATAGAATACTGTGCTTGGAAAAGAATGGATATCTAGGTCTTAAAGGTGACAGAATAAGCTCTCGAGTCAACGACACTACGATTCTCTAAGGCGATGAGAATTATGGACGTAAAGTGAAAACCGAACTTTCGGACTTCAAGCAGGGCGTAGCGACAATTT